TTCATCATTTTCGCTCTGAACTTTGCATATGGTCTTCAATGACCATGCCCAACACCTGTACACAAGGAAAGGATAAGCAGTCTTTCCGTGGAAGATTCCTTTAATTCTTCTACTTCTTGACTATCTTCAGCATTGCTTGGCTTCCGGGAGAACAAGGAAACCTCAACATTCTCGACATTTTCAAACAAATAGACGGTTATGCTCAATAGAAAACATCAGCGTGAACAGGTATTTATTAGTATATAAAAATTTGTTATATTTATTGATGAATTAAGCATGTGACCGGTATGTTCGAGTTTCAAGCTCCAAAAAACGCACCTCGTGGGACATCGGGACGCGGTTAGCGTCACGTAAGTCGTGGCCACCAAAGAGTTCACGCCCCACGAGGTGAAAAAATTCAATAAGTGCGCTGTCGTCAACGTGTTATGGAATTTCTTCGCGGGAAGTCGCTCTCTTACATCCCCCGTATAAAAGCGCTATTTGCAATCACTAGAGATGGTAGCACAGTCACGTGTAAATCATTTAATTTTCGAAAAACCCTCGAAAACCTAACTTGTTACCAATGTGGACTCATGGGCGGAGTCAAAGGAGGGGAGGGGTGGGCAGGGAAAAAATGCTCCGCGGGGCGGCGACGTACTAGGCGACGCATTGGAAAAAAATCGAACCATAGCCTTTGAATTTGGAGAACAGAGACAAAAGGATCAATATATGGTGCAGTAGAAGACTGAAGTGTAGCTGCCATAAGTGAGAAGTTCAAAAAAGTCTCTAGTGCGGCTCTGAGACCATGTGGAAACGTTTCCGCCGGCAACATTTGTACAGATGTGCCGCCTGAATTTAGATGCGCAGCGGTCCTTCTGGTTTCTTAAATCAAAACATAGAGAACAACTTTCTTCTCCTCTTATCGTGGGGTATGGACCTCAGGCTCACGGTTTATGGGATTAATAGAATGGTGCTGCTCATGTGCACGATTCCTCCAACATCGAAGGTGAGCTTAGCGAAGAAATCATACGGTTCATCCAACTGAGGATTTTCACAAGAACTTCTTTTCTCGTATGAATGATCAGCCGGCACTATTTACCCTTTACTGCCCCACTCCTCAAGAACTGAGCCGGATTTTGATCGAAATTCGTCCATGACTGTGGATTTTGCTAGAAACTTGCCTTCAGGGGTAATTTGACCCGTAGATCACGAATATAATACCGGTTTAGAGCGAAAACGCTTGGCGCCCGCGCCACAGGCGCCGGCGCTATCACAACAGTTTTGCGCGGGCGCTCGTAGCGCAGGCTACAGGTTCACTCGTAACAAACTGATGTGATAATCATATTCTACGGGTCAAAATACCTCTGAGGACAACTTTCCAGCGAATTTGGGGATCCGAGATGTTCTGGCGCCTTTTGGCGCCGGCGCTTCTGACGCGAGCGCCAGGCGTTCTAGCGGTAAACAAATGTGATATTCGTGTTCTACGGGTCGAATTACCCCCGAAGACAAGTTTCTGGCCAAATTCACAGTCAATGACCAATTTCGATCAAAAAATCTCAGCATCCGTCAGGAGTGGCGTAAGTCGGTAAATAGTCCGGACCAGCCAAACGCACATTACTTCTCGAAGTCGAACTACAATGTCGCTACCACTGAACGCTGCCATTCGCTATTCCTTCTACATCTTCAAAACGCAATCTGCTATTTTCACTCCAACCACTAAACTCTACCTATCACTATTTTTACTCTACCACCAAACTCCGCCTCGCTATTTTATCTAAATCCATAAAATCCAAATTATGGATCGCCCTGTTATTATTCTGAGCCAGATCATGAGTACTACTGAAGATTTACTTTTGATGCTGGCACCAATTGACACCAAGCAGTTGGGGTGAACCTTAAAGCTAAAAAGCGAAATTTTGTCAACAAAAGAAATCGAAACATAAACAAATTTGAGATTTCCTTTCCCAGATCCCAGCTAAAACCGATTCGTGTTCAATGCATACCTGTAAGTTGCAGGAAACCATTTCAAAAAAGCGCTGCATTTTACTTATATCTCTTGTTACTAAATGAATTCATGATGGCTACAACAATTGAAGGGTCGTTTAGACCTCATCACGGAAGGTAGGAAATAATGAGATGACCGTTCTCCTCTATGCCATGGTCTCACTCGAAGAGTTCTCTTGTTCGCAATCTCTTTCTGCAAATCCAATCACTAATTCACTACTTTCTTTCTGTTTTGCCTCTCATTTACATGATAAAGGAACAAGATTACATCTATGTATTTCCCTGCAAATTTATTGATACCAAAACAGAATCACAAAGAAAGATCGTGTTTTTAAAAGCAGCTCAGAGTAGACAAGTAATCACATGAGATCAAAACGAGCAGCGCTACATATATAGAAGTGTATCAGGCACATGGCGTTGTTTTCGGTGTAGACGATCCATTGGACATCGATGTAAATGAGCCTTCCGAGATATCATGTTCAGCTGTTAAAGAAGGTGCCAGTATGGCTGGAACAGCAAGCACTTGAAACGGGCTGCCAGCAATGTGACTGCTATCAAACATTACTCGCAAAAAGTACACGCCAGGAGTTTGTGGCACGTAATACATTGTAAGCGTTCCGTCATGATTGTCCACACAATGTATCGGTGTCCTTGTTGGCCCATCAACAAAAAGATCGATGTCACCGAATCCAGCTGAAGTGGTGTCGATAGAAACATGCGTTGATCGCTGAGCGATAACAGGACCAAGTCCGGGTCCCGTAACTGTGACCAAGTCGGCTCTTGGTGGACCAGTCCTCGCGACAACATATTCTGCTTCTGCTTTATTTCCGTCTGGTACCGAGTGCAGAAGGTACGGAGCTCCAACGGGGAGATCGCGGTATGTAACAGATATGGAGTAATCTCCAATCTCCGACGGAGTGAACCACACACGAAATCCCGTTTCGGTGGACTCTATGGTAGCTTCGACTATGCTGCCGGAAGGACTGACGATCACGATTCGAGTGTTGTCACCATCTGGCGTGAAAACGTGAACTTCCTGCTCACAATTCACCGTTACGATAGCTAAAAAGAAACCATGAGGAAGTAGAACGGAGCGACGAGAGCAGTTACTCACGACACATAACACGCTGCAAGTTAGCAAAACGGAGCTGTCCGGGAACCTAACCTTACATTAGCAACAAATCATGCTGTTTTCAATGAATGAGACACCTTTTTTTCGAATTTTCAAGTAGTACACGAAATAATGCCCTCACTTTACGTTCCCAATTCCCTATTCAGCCAAAGAAGCTCAATTTAATTACACCAATTTAAGCAATCCAAAATTGCAACTGTCCCTATTAGCCGCAAGCGTAACTAAGACTCAACGCACATTATCAAAATTTAGACGAATAATATGAAAAATGTCTTCGTCAACAAGAACACCAAGTCGCGCCGTGCAGAGCTGTATAATGTGGTCATGAAATCACCACGTGCCTTTTCGGACTTACAATTTGGTTTCAAGTCCAGCCGTCCGCGTTGCAGAGTCTTCAAATCAAATGATACCACTTTTTTCAGACGATTATATCAGAGAAAAATAAGAACTACCACCACTCTTCTTCCATAGAAAATGCTCTTTTGCTGGAGTTGTTTCAAACCAATATACAACGTATAAGGTAGAATTAGATTGTAATTGATTCCCGAACAGCCATTAATGTAAATAAATCATAAGTGTCATAAAACCATAACAAAAAACAGCAAAAACAGCAAACACG